ATTTTAAGGGTTATTATAAATTATTGCAGGTGTTTTTAATATTATTTTATCATTATATTTTCATTCTGTAACACCGTACCTTTAGCTAATAGTCAATCATATCTTTTAAAGGTTAGATCACAGTTAACAATATAATACATTTGACTTGAATTCTTTTTAAAGAGTTAATAGATTCTAGTAATTCCTTGATACAAATAATAGTAATTTGAAATTTAATTATCTTGAACAAATTCTTTCCATTTAGCTTTAGAAGTTACTAAAAATTAAACAAGTTTTTCTAAATAGTAATAGTATACTAAAGTCATAATCATATTGCAAATATTTATAGCAGCTTATAATTGATAATATATATATTGAGCAGAAATTTTTCATATATTATTTAAATTATAAAGTTGATTAATCTGTCTTATAGTGTAACTTCCAATTCTAATTAAATCTAAATAATATTATAATATTTTTTATATATTTAAATTAGCTAAATAATGTTTTAGAAAAAAAAAAAATTTTCAGAAAGACTGATAATTTTATAGAAAATAAAGTTACACCATTAATTTGTTTAAATATTATCATATTACTTAATTATAATTTGTGATATTTAAGAATTTCTTTTATTATATTTTTTCAATAAAAATTCATTAATTGATACTTTTAAGACTTTTTCATTTAAGATTCTTAATTTGTATACTTCAGAATATGATATTGTATAAATATATTAAGATCTATTTCAGTTTAGTTCAAGTTTACCAGAATAATTTTTATTTTTTAATATATTGTACATTAAAACTTTGTCACCTATTTCATGTATTATAATAATTTTAACTTTTCGGTCATGATAATTTTTATATTTTTGTTGTTTAATTTTTATTCTAGATTTTATATTCTCTTTTTTTTTGAAAATTCATTAACTAAGTAAAATAATTGTATTAACAAATTTTCTTCTACATATTTGATTCCTTTCATAAAGGACATGCGAGCAGATTTTCCATATATAAGATAAAAGAGCTCAATTTTGATAACAACTTGTTTCACTGTTCGATATACAAATAGTATAGCAGAAATATTTATATTTCAATCTGTAATAGTTTCAGTAGTACGAACAAGGAATTTATATAAAATTCTATTGAATTATTCTACTATAGTAATGTTTATTTTGACATGTAACAAATCTTTAACAATTGAGTATGGTATCATCTTTTGCTCTAATAAAAGTCTTTCTGTAAAGACTAACTTTTATCTTCCTTTCTTTCCTTTTTTCTATTCACTTTTTACTTTTCATTTTCCTTTATTATCTTTAAAACCTTTAGCTTTTGTAAGTTCTGGAATAAGTACATCTGTCATTTCAATTTTATTACTATTAAATATTTTATTTTATAGTTTAACAACATGTCGGAACTGTTGTAATTCTTAAGTTTCTTCTGTATATGAGGGAATTGTATTATTAGACGTACTCCTATCCTCCTGAAATACATTTCCTAGTTTAAATGCTCAACAGGTTAAATTTGTTGAGTTAATGACACTGTTCCTGTTTTATATATTTTTACTAAAACTTGTTGAGTTAATAACACTGTTCCTGTTTTATATATTTTTACTAAAACTTGTTGATTCTGATTCTGGGGAGGTTGTTAAGAAACCACTAGAAGAACATTTTGATATTGATTTACTTGAGGTATTTGTTGCTATACTGGTGGTATTTGCATTTGATATACTTGTAGCTGTTATTATCTGTGTAAACCTTCTACAATTTACAAAGACAACAGAGTAAAATAATACTCAAACTAATAACAAAACTAAATATAACTATAAGAATACTAATCTCAAAATAAAATAATCACAATATAAGGGTTTATACATAGAAGAAATTATGTACGATCAATTATAAAAGATACATATTAACTATTAACAGTGGTATGAAGACTTGTTAATAGGGACAAATAGTTTATCAATTATTAAAAGAATACAATAAACAAGGAACCCAAAGAATTTTGTAATATTAACTTTGTAGTTGTTGTTTAAAGTAGTTACACTGTATAGCAATACACGAAGAAGTGCAAGAAATTATTGTGACTGGGAACTTGATTTGTTGTGTAATACTGTTGTGTGCTATCCAGACGCGACAACACAGCACAAGTGATAATTACATATGTTAATCTTCTACAAATCAAAAATTTTTGGGTGCTAATCCTTTTCCACCTGACCAAAACACTGATAGTCTACTTCTTGAACACTCAACCTGACAATTTTAAAATAATCTTTATGCATATCTGGCAATGGATGATGATGAACTTATGAACCATCTTTCTGAAGATATGGCATTAACTCATATGGCAATTATTCAATCATTACTATTTTAATGATAATGATATGCGATTTATATTTGCAAATCCAAATATGCTGAGTCAACATTAAAGAGCATAAATATGGTCGTTTATTACAATACACTTTAATTTTCTTTAGTAAAAAATATAACTTTGGTATATACACTGTTGTACAAACACTATTTATTCACATAACAATAGCAAGATTTAATTTCAAAGGATTTTTTTTTCTATTTATTTCCTATTCCTAACATTATGTGAATATTTTTATTTTAAATATTAGGATAAATTCATTATTCATAATAAATTAAATTATTTATTTTTCCAAATTCTATATTTGAGCAAATAAAAAAAAAATATAAAAAACAATTTTTTATTATAATTATAGAACCTGACATCAATGCTTCTTAAAATTAATAAAGTTTCTTCTGTCATAGGAAAATTATGTAAGATAACAATAAGCGTCATCATACTTTTAGTATTAAGGCTATCATTGTTTTGTCTAACAAATATGGTTAGAATATTATTCAGGCTATGCTGACGAAACTGTGATTATTGAAACAATGATTTTTTATATCATAATTTCATTTAAACGAAAGCTTATTGTTATAATGTTCGCAAAATATAAATCGACGATTATATCATTTATAATGGTAACGATTGAATGATTGCCTTATAAGTTAATGCCATATCTTCAGAAAGAAGGTTCATAAATTCATCGTCACCTATAGCCATATATTCATGAAGATCATTTATATTAAGTGGTGGATAGTTCATAAATTCGCCTTCAGATACGATTGGTTGAGAGTCTTGTCCTATATTAGGAAGTGGATGGTTCATAAATTCGTCTTCATCCATAGTAGTATAATGATAATTTTTAAAGTTGTCAGATACGATTGGTTGAGAGTCTTGTTCTATATTAAGAAGTGGATGGTTAGCGATTTGGTCCGTGTTTGAAGGTGGAATGTTAAAATTGTAAGTAAAATAAGTGGAATTTAGAAAGTTTTGTGGAGGATCATTTATACTCTGATTAAGAGGTGGAGGAAAGTTTTGATTCGTATTATGAAGGGAAGGATTAACGGTACTTGAAGGGACGTGATTATCATTTATACTATGCACTTGATAGCTATTGATAAAAAAATAAAAAGGGACTTTTTTTTTGAAACATTCTTTTACATTTTTTGCCATCTGTTGGTAATAGTCTTTGACATCTTCTGGCTCATTTTGCCATGAAATACTGACAAATTTAGATACATCTTTACTTGAAAGATTAAATTTTGCAACTACACGATTATATTCTTTTCGATAAATCATAAATGGATTCATAGTTATGTTAACGTTCTTAATGCCATTTTTTAAATGAATTTGTACGATTTCATCTACACTAATGGCTGGGGGAAATGGGACTTTTACAGTATTTAGGTAATTAATAGAAAGAGACATATTTAAATAATAACTCTTTTTGTTCGTGAAGGGAGATTATTTTTTTAAAAATTTTTTATCACTAAATTATAATAAGTTAATTTGTAAATAATATCGTATGTGATTTTAATTTGTTATCGGGTCCAACGAGGAGAGCCAGAATGCAAAATTCAAAAAAATCCGTTGTATTTATAATAAAATAACAATATAATTAAAATGTATAATTACTTTAAGCGATTAATCGGATTAATTGTAACAGACAACATATTGTTTTAATATAACGATTAACTGGATTAACTGATTGACTGTAAACGTTATTTAGTACTATTAAATTAATCTTTGAACGATTAAATTATTATTTTTTTAATCTTTGTACGATTAAATTATTATTTACGTTTTTCGTAATGATTATTATTTGAAAATTTAATATCTAAAATCTCCATTATATTTATTTATCATTATATCATTATTATTTTTATTACACCATCATTATCTCTTAATTAATCATTATTTATTACTATCTTATATATTTTGTAAGAAACATAATATGTTTTATCTTTCGTTTAACATGCACAATAAAAAAAAACACATAATCTGCGGTAATACCTTAAGAGGATAAGCTGTACATAAAAGAGTGATGATAATGATCTGCTTTTTTGAATAATGAATGATCGTGGATGTGGCATTGGAGATATGTGGGACTATCTCTGAATATTATTTACTGCATCATCTTTTCAAAATATATTTTATGTATAATATAATAAAGATGAGACTGGTTCTCTACGCACATTTTATATAAAATTTGTAAAGCCCACGGCCTACTAATTCAGTTATAAAAGGTATCTCGTTGTTCTATATGTTTATTTAGAATTTTTTTTTATTTTACCGTATATTGTTTCCACTCTTCCTTCTTGATAATAATTGTTCTTTCATTAATTTTTTTAAAAACAGAAAAGAAGGAAATGTTAAATAACTAGCGTATATAATATAGGTTCAGATGTTAAAATATGTAGAATTAAAAATGGCAAAGTGTAAATCACATGATGATTGTTTAGTTGCTTTGTAGGTTCTTCAGAAGACATAACATCATCCATAGTAAGATCATTTTTAAAATTATCAGATACAAGAGGGGAGGGATCGAGTATGTAGAGTCTTGATGTTTCATATTTAGAAGTAGATAATCTGAATAAGTAGTGCTTAAACACATATTTGAAGGTGGATGGTTAAAGTCGATAGCATCTAGAGAGTATTTATAGCAGGTCGTGCCTAGAGACATATTAAGAGGAACAGGGAAAGTAATTTCTATAAGGTTTTTGTCTACAGGAGGATTAGAGTAGGTAGCATCTGGAAGGGTTTGACACATATTACAGATTGCTGCCTAGAGTAAATATAGTACTGAGAGAATTTGAAAGGGGATGATTATAACAGGTAGTGTCTGGAGAGTTTTGCATAAGTAACAGTAACATTTAATGCCCGGAGAGATTTGATCCATATTCAGAGGATCAGAGAAAGTAATTCCTAGAGAGTATTGGTCCATAGTAAGTAATGTATCGAGAATTTTGATCTATACTCATAAAGACTAGAGTCTGGCAAGTTTTGATCCATAGGAGGATTTGTTTCTAGAAAAACATGATTTTCATTTGTACCAACTTGGTTGCTTGTTCCAAATTTGTTAATGAAACAAAGGATGGGACGCGATTTCTTTAAAGCGTTCCTTAACCTTAGACAATTGTATGTAATGGACTTTGATACCTTCTGGCTCATTTCACATGAAAGATATAAATTATTTTTAATAAATCATAGATACATTCATTTGTATGATTTCAATTACGCTGATAGACGAAGAGAAATGGGACCTTCAAGATTTAGCTGTATTTTGATAATTAATATTAATTGATATATTTAAATAAAAATAAGAACTTTTTTGTTCGAGATTAACAAAACTTCAGTTAATAGAAAAATAATTCGTTAAATAATGGATGTACTGAATATTTTATTTTACAAATAAGTTTATTATAAAAATATATTAAATTTTTATTATCTCTCAAGAGAAAAATAAATTCATAAAATTTTAATAAAATAAATTAATTTTGTATTCAAAATGATAACGATTGAATAATTTTTCTGAGTTAATGTCAAAACATCAGAAAGATCTATAATTAGATTTGTCGAGATTTTTAAAATTATCCGATACAATTGGATTAAAATAGGTAGCGGCTGATCAATATTCATGCTTGATGAGTTTACTAATCGATAGCGGAATGAGACGTTTACTATGTTTGCTGTATTTTGTGATTAATATTAAGTGATGACATGTTAATTAAAATGTATTCTTGAGGATTAAATTTAAATAATTGAAATAATTAAAATATGTAAATGAAATAATTAAAATATGTAAATGAAATGGTCAGATTATTTAGTTTTTGGAAATTTATTACGTGATGTTAATCATTAACTGCGGCGGAACACAAACTTCAAATCAAATTATGCCACATGTATTACAACTTATCGAACGTTATTTTATTTGACTTTCCAGAATAATGCCACAAAAAAAAAAAGTTATGACAAAAATTCGACAACGAGAAGTAATTTTACATTTTTGGAGTGAGGGGATACGTGATGAGAATGAAATTCAGCGTCGTACTAATATTGGACTCTCCACAATATATTACAATCTCAAAAAACAGGAAAAACCGGGTGATGTCACTCGAAAACCAGTCTCAGATCGTCCAAGAAAAATTACCGGTACCATAGCAAATGTTGTTGGGCAACAAATTCGAAGGAATCTTCAAATAACAAGGAAAGGTTTGGTAGAAAAGTTAGCAGAAAAAGGTATAAAAGTATCAAAAGATACAGTTGGAAAGCATCTTCATCGACAAGGATACAAAAATTCCCTCCCCATTGCGACGCCAATGCTTACAGCTGAGCATAAACGAAAAA